CAATCAGAGAATTAGTTCCTCAACGGCGTGATTAGAGGGCTTTCATATTCGGCGTCGGTGAACTGCTTTTTGGGCCACCGTTGGTCCTCTCATCTCTCTCTCTAACCTCCTACCACCACCCACAATCGACACCTTCACCACTACCACCCACAATCGGCCCCTCCACCACTGCTCACCCACTATACAAAATAACCATCTCCACTTCTTCACCGCACCACCCACAATCAGTACCCACCACTACCACCCACAATTGGCACTTCCACCACTATTCACCCACCATACAAAACAACCATCTCCACCCCTTCACTGCACCACCCACAATTGGCACCTCCACCACTACTACCCTCTTGCTCGCATCCCCGCAAGCTCTCTCTCCCCATTCAGATCACACAGTAGTCAGAATCTAGGGTCAGAGGTGGTTGTGGTGGAGAGTAATGTTTGGTAGGGGTATTTTTGGAAAAGTAATGGGGTAAAATGGGCATTATATTAATTAATGGGTGTTTTTGCACAAATTGAAAAGAATAAGGGTGTTTTTTGCACACTTTTTTAAAGAGGGGGTAAAAGTGCTAAGAAAGGTATACCTTAGGGGTGTTTCTTGCACTTACCCCTATATCCTAGTTTGTAGTCCTTGTAGATACATACTATGATTCATTGACATTTCACATGCAATGATAGTTGAGAACTTAGGGCATGACTTGTGTGTTTCCATAATCTTGGTTGTGCATGAAACGTGTTTAATGCATTACTTGTATCTTGATGCCATCTTGACTTGCACAACTTGTTGATTTTGAAAATTCGAGAATATCAATCAAGAAGTGACATAGCTAGGCCTTGGTTCTAGTACGGGAGATAAAGAACTCCCTACACTATCGTGTGCATTAGGGGAAGGTACCATTGGGTTAGTAGTCCTAAAGTGATCCCAAGACTAAGGGAAGGTACCCTTGGGTTAGTAGGCCTAAAGTGATCCCAAGTCTATGGGAAGGTACCCTTAGGTTAGTAACCCAAAAATGATCCCAAGAGAACGATTTTCTATCGTGCACACTAGGGGAAGGTACCCATGGGTTAGTAGCCCTAAAGTGATCCCAAGAGTACGGTTTTAATCCGGACGATATCCAAGTTTCCACATTGTTTGATTTCGCTCTTTAAATTTCAAGTGTTGCATTCCTTGAATATTTAAAACTCTTTCGTGTTATAGGAAATGTTCCATCCTTGTTTAATTGCATAGATATTATGCCTTATTCTTGATTTCATGTATAACTCTTTTCGTGTTAATTGGTATGTCCCAATCATGTAAATTGCATTGATAATGTGATCTTTATTCAAGTGTCCTTCTTGTCATGTTCTTTGGATTATCCCAACTTTGTTCAGTTTCAGAGACATCGTCATTCATGTTGCTTCATGTTGATATGATTTAGGAATGATCTGATATAAGCATCTTGACTTAGATTCTAGGTGGCATGGACCGTATGTAATGATCTATATCAACATGCAAAATCTCTATACTCTTACATTTAAAGTGTTAGCTCTTAAAGATCTAAGAACCTTGTCGTGTTATATGGAGTATTTCTCACCTTGTTTAATTGCATAGACATTATGCTTACTTCGTGTATTTAGACCTCATTTAGTATACTTGAAACTGTGCACTTGCTTCTCGTATTTAGATTCCATTTAGTATATTCGTGTCTTGTATACTTGCTTTGTGTGTTTCCGATCTCATTTGGTGTACTTGTGTTTTCTATACTTACCCTACATGTTTTCATTTTCGTTCAGTACACTTATAACCGGTATGCTTGTATGTCGTGTAACTCATTTCAATTGCATGAGTAGCTTAGGATGATCCATGAGTCTCACTTTGACATAGACGTTAAGTGGCATGTCCTTTTTCAATTGTTTCAAGTTAATGTAAAAATCTCTAAAGAAATCGAGTCTATGCATGCTCATTCTCTACGAGTAAACTTGTTTACTCACCCCGAAGTTACTGGGGGTTTTGTTTAGGTACGAAGACTTGGTTCGTGATGCTCATCATTCCGTGGTTGACTTGTAGCTTTTAAGTTTTCATTTCATGCAAATGTTAGCATGAAATGTCATTTTGTAACTTTATATGTCAAAACATATAGCTTTGATTATATATATGTAATGTGTACATAAGTAAACCCTTTGTATTGTATTTGACATATATGAGATGAGACCGGAGGCCAATGACATGTATTTTGTATCCAACGTAAATTTTGACTTTATGAAATATTATAAAAATATTGAAAAATGTTAAGTTATTGTTTCACCATGGGTGCATCGGGTGTGGGAATTCAATTTTTATTCTTTCATAGGGTCTCATTAATCATGTATGAAGTGTAGCCAAGTGCCAAACGGTCATTTGACTCCATTTTATAATTTTAGATTTCAAAATTTCCATTTCAAGTTCATTTTTGCCTTTTTGGTCGTCAGGGGGTCGGATTTTGTATCGGCGGTATTTTTAAGCCGTGGGTCATTGTAGCGCGTCCTAATAGGTAAGTTACGTTTGTGTGCATGATCGTTTTCATGAAAACCCCTTTCGTTTGTGTTTTGAGCCTCCTACGGACTCATTTTAAAATTTTATTGCATAATCTTGCTTAAGGGCATTTTGGGAATTTCTTTTGGGAAATAAATTCCATTCTCGAGTCCGTCATATAGCAAATGTGATTTTAGGGGGAGTTTCTTCACAACATTTTTATGAAAAATGTCATCTTGATCTCGAAAATCGCATTCCAAACTCAATTTTCTGCATTTCTATTGTTTACTCAATTTTCTGCATTTCTACTGTTTCTGCTGCTTTCTACTGTTTCTGTCAAGGTTGAACCGGTTCAAGATGCAAAAATTGGTCCAGCATGGATGTTCTATCCATGTTGAACCGGTTCAACAATGTTGAACCGGTTCATGTCCTCTAGAGATTTCAGTTTTGGACTTCCGACTTCAATCTGATGTAACTTCTTTGTTTCAACTCCGAATTGGTCCATTCTTGAGTCTAAATTGACCGTGTCAAAATAAGCTTTCCAATGGTACCAATTTCAGCTTCAGATTCTTTTCCTAGCTTAAGATATCCTTGTTTTTGTGAGAGGGTGTCGGATTTGGTTCGAACCGAGATAGGGTTCATTAGGGACTTCTCTTCCTTTGGCCTTGGGACTTCATGTGAAGTTACCAAAGGATGTTTTTGTATGTTTTTGATCTCATTTGACTTGTTGGAAGTCAAATTCCTTCCTCTTAGGGTAAAATGGTCATTTTACCCTTGGTCCTTCTTTTGGTAGGGTTTTGATACCCTTATCTTCGTTTTGCTTCCATTGAGTCTCGAAACTCTTTGAAAGTTCATTCTTGTGTCCTAGGGATAACGTACATCTCTATGGACTTTTTTTCCGTTTTGCTTCCGCATTTTGGATCCGCTTCAGGTCATCACAGGACATACTGTGTTGAAAAATATATATTTATCCTTCCCCTTTTCAAAAATGTAATTATACATCTTCCACAACTATTAGTAGAAATTAAGTACAATATAAGAAACTAAATCGATCCAAACACTTCTTATACAGATCAGATGATTTTGTTTAGGCAATTAATTCATTGGTTTGGTTCGATTCCAGAACAAAGGGCCGGATAGAATGGAGAGAGAATATGGGGGAAGATTGCGTGGATTTTTTAATTAACCAAAAGATCATAGAGTTAATTTTGCTCCGATTCTAGTTTAACCTCTCGAAGTAATTTTGTTTGAAATTTTCTTTTGGCCACTTAGTGAGGCATAAACTTTTTCGTTTTAAAGATTGTTGATGAAATCTACCCCTGGGGTGAGTATATCTGTATCAAGAATATTTATTCTTGATGATGACGTATATTTTCAAGTATGCAAAGGAAAATTGCGAAACCATTATTCTAATATGGTGGAAATGGGTTTTCATGTAAAACTTGGTGTCTTAGGAATAATTTTCTACTATTTATTTGAAATTTGATTAGAACACTTCTATTTTTAAAACAACACATAAATGGAAAAGTTTATTGTTGGGTGTTAGTATTTGTGCGTTATCCCAACAATTGAAACCTACATGGTAAGTGTGATTTCACTTTACATTTTAAACCATTCCAATTTGAATTGTGTGCACCCTCCTCAAATCACTCATGTTCTGTCCAAATAACTGTAAGCATAAGGAATAGTCCCATCACCACATATGCGAATACGAAATACGAATATGAAAATACAATAAATTTTAAAAAAGAAGAAGATACAAGTACGATAAGATACGGCAATAGAAAAATAATAAATTAAAATTATATATATATATATATATATATATATATATATATATATATATATATAAATTTTGGTCAATTTTTTAAAATATTATGAATCTAAATGAAATCATTAATATACGGGAGTTAGTTTCACAACATAAAAAACAACCATAACTGGTCATCACTTAATAAAATTTGAACTTTTCTCATCAATTATATTATATTATTTTATGTTGGAAAAATTACATTTTAATATTCAAAACTTATTAAAAATGTGTTACGAAGTATTTAAGGAGTATAGATACGCAGTCAAAGTATTTAAGGAATATAGATACGCAGTCAAAGTATTTCAGAAGTATAGATACGCAGTCAAAGTATTTCAGAAGTATCGGATACGTGTTAAAAATTAAAAAACATACTTCACAAGTATGGATACGAAGTATCGAACACGTATCGACGAGTATATAAAGAGTATCAATATCCGATCGACATATCTAATACGAATATGCCACTCTCATAGAAGTATCCGTACTTCTAAGAACAACAGTGAAAATCTCTCATATTCTCTTTCTTAATCACTCATGTTCCATGTTTCTAGGAATATATGCTTGCTTTGCTTCTTAATCTCTCTATTCCCCCTTTATTTAACATAACCTCAGATTCTTTCCTTTCTTATTATGTTTTCAAACCCCTGGACCCCTTTTGTAGTATATATGCAGAAAAGATGGAGCTTAGGTTTCCATTTCATTTTCTTGGGAAGATATCAATCTAACAAATTAAAATGAAGCTACAACTGCTCTGCATGGTTGGCATCATTGTTCTTAGCATCGCAGGTACCTTTAAATTTCACTTAGTTGATTACTTCGTTCACACACACACACACACACACAAGTATCTGATCTATTTTCATCTTGTTGTCATGACATGCACCACCCTGATCTCCTTACAGCTGAAAAATGCCGGCTGCTGGTCGGGGATAAGGTTGCTTCATCAAGAAGTAGGACAGAGAGGTTTACATTCTTGAACTGCTTTGACATGAGCTATGGAACCATAGCATGCGTGGTTAAGGAGTGTGTGAAGCTCTATTTCGAATACATCAGAGCTGTTCATGTTCAGAAGGTCAGAAATGACGAAGGAGATGCTGCAGCGACGCAAGCGTATAGACAAGCAAAGCACATTATGGCCCCTCTCCTATCTTCAGCATGGGACTTGTTCGAAACCATGTACTTTGGAGGTGCCCTAGCAGAGGGACTCATTAGGGCCACCGGAACCTTTTTCGGAGCCTATGCCGGAGGGTTCATCGGAGAGGTAAGACTTGGATGGTTAGGTTTTCTTGTGGGAAGCCATTTGGGAAGTTGGACTGGAGGAAGGATAGGACTAATGGTATACGATGTGGGGTATGGAGTGCAATACCTACTTGACCTTGTCCAAAGTGAAAGCAACCCTTACATGCCCATGGATTCTTCTCTTTAATATATATATATATATATATATATATATATATATAATTCCTAATATGTAAACATTGATCATGGGGCATAAGAAACACCTCTGATTCATATATATAATACTTGTTCTTGTATGAATCATGTTTTCTACTTTTGTCTCTAATGACTCATTGAACATCTAGTGAACATGATGGGAATTTTCAGCCACTCGCTTGTTTTTTTGCAATGGAATTTATATAAACAGAAAATGATTGATCGTGAATCATGATGCCCACAATCCTAACTTTAATAATGGTGATGTGGGCGGTAGATTCCATTTGGACTAAGCGAGTGGCTTTCATCTATCTGTTTTTCACAACTTTAATTTTGTGATAAAGGGATATGCAAAAAGTTCAATTTCAAGAATTAAAAAAAGATTCACTGAGAATATGGCTAATTGGTTATTTATATTAGAATTGATATTGATGACTAAGAAGTAAAAATAAGGTCAATAAGCAAATCTCTTACGAAATCAAACAATTATTATATTTTCAAACTTTCAAAAGATATAAAAAAATAAAATAAAAAGTTTTAAAAAAATTATATATATATATATATATATATATTAGTTTTTCTGGGAATTAGGCAAAGTAAACGACAGAATGAGGTGGAACATGCAATGAACAAGTTTGCTTATATGACACCGGGAGTTTTAAGTTCAAATTGCTAGAGATTCTCCTTGCGAACTGATAACATATACCATTTTTCCAAAAAATTATATATTTTATAACAAATAGATTTAGAGTTTTAAATAATTATAAATAATTCAAGTATATTCACGATTTCTACATGAACCAGATATACCATATTAAAGTAAGATTTAAATTCATTAAAACAATATGAGTTACAGTGCAATTCAAATTATATTTAATCATGATTCATTTGCAACTTAACGTCATATAACGTGTAATAAATATATAATTTTTTTTGAAGTTATACAATAATATTGGACAACTCAATATCAACTCTAAGTATTGATTCACGACAATCTCATTCAATCAATGGTAAAAATAACATTTTTGACCCACATAGATATTCTAATGCTAAGTCACATAAAACAGGAATAGGAGTGAGAGCGAATTTGAAAGAGGGAGTGTGAGAACGACAAAATTAAGTGATAAGTATGGAGAATTTGAGCGAGAGCGGCGCGAGAGTAAAAACAAGAACGCCCCGGAGTGACTAAAGGGATCTATTAAGGCAATTATGTTTTTGCATTAAAAAAAAAAAGAAAAAAAGAAAAAAAATGATTTGGATTTAAATAATATATATTTTATTTGAAAATATCCTACATATTCAAAATTTACCTTGTCTTTCTTTTACATATATATATATATATATATATATATTTTTTTTTTTTTTGTAACTCATCTCAAAAATATATTCTCATTTGCTGTTCACTTTTTTACAAATAATAATAATTTGTTTGACTATCATCTCCTTGTCAATCATGCGCCTTCACAAAGTTTATCATCGTTTCTCTCTCATTCCTCTCTCTCCTCCCTCCCTTCTTCACCATCACCCTCTCAAGCCCCTTTCATCCTCCTCCACTCCGTACTTTCTCTCTCTCAAACTCTCTCGTTCCTCGCCAATCCACTCACATTCCAAAAACGCTCTCAAGTCCATTAGAAAATCCATGACCACCTCAACAAGATTTCACAACCTTGTCCCCGTCAACGCCGAAGGCGGTGATGGTGACGGTGGCGGTGGCGGTGCTACAAACGGTTCTCTTTCTTCTTCTTCTACTTCTAATACTAATACAGCTCAAGATGAAGGTTCATATATTATCTGTGTATAAATTTGGTACTTTTGAATATTGGTTTTTTTTTTTTTTTACAAGTGGTCTCTATAAATTGGATGATATATATATTTTTTTTAAATTTTAAAACAAAAATAGTAATTAGGCTTATAAATTATTGGATATGTTGTCATTAAGTAAATCCTTTTCAAGTATTTGATTTTCTGAGTTTTGTAGAATCTAATTGATGCCAATTGTTATTCATTTTTTTGGGCAAAGCCTGTGAATTGATATTTTATTTTATATATATATTTTTTTGTGAATTTCGAGGGCCTGCACCATGCTTGCATCCAAATTGGGATTCATTGTTGGCAAAGACACATATTTTTGAGTGTTAGAACTAAAAGTTGAGTACGCCTTTAGGGTTGTTAGTTCCGTTGGTCTTTTGGATTTGAAATTTAATTACTCATCTATCAAGTGATGAATGCCTTTGTGTTTTTAAATTACCACTCTAGTTTGAATCTATTTTTTAATTTTTTATTACTTTTAATTTTGTTTTGTTTTATAGGTAAGAACACACACCCAAAGAATTCACTGACTCACTATTGTGTGCATACTTGGTTATATATCCATCTGATAACACTTGTTTTATTTTGTGATGCAGAATCGGCATTGGATGGGGGATATCGTCTTCCTCCTCCAGAGATTAGAGATATTGTTGATGCTCCACCCCTGCCGGCATTGTCATTCTCACCTCATAGGGATAAAATATTATTTCTTAAGCGGAGATCTTTGCCTCCATTGACAGAATTAGCAAGACCAGAGGAAAAGCTTGCTGGTATCCGGATTGATGGAAAATGTAACACTCGGAGTCGGATGTGAGTTATGAGGATATTTTCATTTATCTCATTGCTTGTATATGTTTCATTATTTGGGTAACTTGTTATTTGAGATATCTTTGTAGTAGTACAAGGGTGCCTTTTATCATCCAAGTGTTGGTAGCTTTTTGAGCATTTGTATGACCCTGCTGAGTTTCTCACTGAGTATGGTTCAGAATGGTGAAGATACATATAAACTAAAATGGGTTTTTGATTTCCACACTGGTGAAAGCCTTATGGATAATGTCCTCAGAAGTTTTGGTATCATTCATATTACAAGGCTGGAGTGATTTGGATGAGTTCCATTTTTATTTTTTTTTAGAACATAGCATATCAATAATTCACATTTTTGTGTGTGTGTGTGTGTGTGTTTCCCTCAAACTTAAGCTGTAATGCTAGATTTTTTTACAATGTTCTATATATTAATTTTCAGGTCATTCTATACTGGTATTGGTATCCACCAATTAATGCATGATGGTACACTTGGACCAGAGGTAGAGATACATGGCCTCCCAGATGATGCTAAAATCAATTTTGTTACCTGGTAATTGCTCAAATATTTATCCTTTTTATGTAAGCTCTGTAAGTTTTTTTTTTTTTTGGCCCTCCTTGAATGTGGGTATATATTAAAGAATAAAAAAAATATGATCCAAGAGAAAATAGTCAAGGCATACCTTCACAAGGAAAACAATACAAGAAACACAAAAAAGCCTCTGAAGAAGCTAGAAAAACTAATTAGAAACAGAAGATTAGAACAAGCATTACAAGTCCTGAAGTCCAAGATGAATAAATTGGAGATTTTCAAAGCATGCTTAAAGGGCAATAGAAGCAGTTGAATTAGTTGTGGAACCATGCAGTCTCATATTCCTCTCATTCCAAATAGACCAAAGCTCTGAAGTCATATTCCTTTAATACCAAATAGACCAAAGCACTGAAGTGAAGGTCCTTCTGCAGTATTTAGACCTCAAAGACGAACCTTTCACAGCAACAAACCATCCAACCAAATCAGAAAAAGAAGAGCATGACTGAAGCAACTGCCATTCACACAACTGATCAAAGCAAGACCATACTCCATGAGCAACATCACAATTAAAAAAGTGATGATCATAAGAATCATCACCTTTGAAACAAATATGACAAATTGAAGTGAGAGTCAGACCTAGCGAAATTACAGAATGTGGGAATAGCATTCTGCAAAATTAGAAGTGCAGTAATAGGAATTCTGGGTCTGCAGCCATTCCACACCAAAGAACACCATGGAACTCTGTTCCCTCCCATTCTACACTTATTCCAAATACTTTTAAAAGACAAAGTACCATGTTTCCATATAATGGAGTCACAACCAGAAATTAATCTCTTTGACTGAATATAAGCACACACATCTGCTGGGAAAGAAAAGGGAATGCACCAATTATTATTAGCAATAATGACCTGCAACAAGGAGTCTTTGGGCAAACCAGTCATTAATCTAATTCTATGATTAAATCTCTGTAGTAAGGTTTCACCATCTGCCCAGGGATCCAGGAATAAATGAAAAGAACTACTATTTCCAATCTGAAAACAAATATTTGCAAGCATGAAACCTTAACTGAAACCATACTTTTCCAAATGGATGAGTCAGTAGACTTGACAATACAATTCCAGAAGGAAGCTTTAATTCTTATGGAATTGTATTGACCTCTGCAAGTTCTTGTGCCAACCTTTTGACATTTCAATTATATTTGTGCTCGGATACGTTAGACGAAGCTTTAGCTATGCATTTAATATCTTGGCAGGTTTCCATCTAATTACACAACAATTCGTCACAATTTTATGTGTATATGTGTATCAAACAGATAAACTAGTTAGTCCTCAAATCTTGGGAAAGAACCACCTGGAGTTGGAAAATCCAGCTACTGGATTGCAAACATCACAGTCTAGAGCCTTAACTGCATGAAATAACTTCCTCCCATCCCCTCTTCAATTCCATTTGCAGCATGGCTATCTTGATAAAATGAGTGACATTTTTGCTGCCATTAGAAGATATGCCCCTGGGAATATGTTAATTTGAGTCATTTTAAACCCCTGGGATTGTGATGCTTTACATTTCCGTGATTCCAACAGTGTATTTACCTTTTCCTGGTGGTTGCTGTTCTCTTTTGATTAGGTGTAAGCCTTACAAAGGATCTTGAGGTTAAAGAAGAAATCTTCAGATCCTATCGAAAAGAAGGCATAACAACTGCTGCTAATGACATATATCCTTCATACTTGTGTCATCACTCATACTGGTCAATTATAATTGGAGAATTTTAGTTTTGATGGAGAGTTCCTATCAATATGGCCGTTGAACTAACCAGTATCATAATTTTGCACTTCAGTAAAAAGCTTAAGGTCCTCTAGGTAGTTGGGACATGCAGAGCAGTACACCATTAACTATTGAGTTGATACTTTGCTAGATGGTATATGTTCTTTATACCCTGCTCACATGAGGTAATCACTTTGATGGGCTTGGTTTCAGCTTTAAGTAGATGTTATGCAGTGTAATGGAAAATTTTATTTGGCGGAGTTCATACAAGATTACCTTTTTTTACTACAAGACCCTTCCTCCATGTTTTTACTCTTGTCTTGTTTGCTAACATTTTAGTGCCCTTGAATCACTAGAACCGTTTTGGGCTAATCACTGAATCGTTCTGGTTTCAACTAGGTCAAATGATGGTCGGCACTTATCGTTCAGCATCCGAACCGACGAGGTAATAGATCTATCTGAACTTGGGTATTGATGTAAAACTTCTGTTATTACTTTTATGTTAATGACTCGGTTAAACGTTTAGTCATACATCATCTTATAAATGTTTTTGATGGATACACCTATTAGACCTAGCTGACTTGCTACAATGATTTACAAATGCTTGACCTTTTGAGGGTTTTACCTGCCATTTGATGTTTCCTTCTTTGACATGCAGAAATTGGATGCAATTGCATGATTATTCTGACTGATTGATTGGTTGTAATGCATGCCACAGTAACTTGATCAGATATTGGATATTCTGTATTTTCCAAATTGCCTCAACTTCTAATTGTTACTTTTTGGGGAACAGGAAGGTGGTAGCAGTAAGCTTAGAGTATGGGTTGCTGATGTGGAAACAGGGAAAGCTAGACCTTTGTTCCAGTCACCAGATATCTATCTAAATGCAATTTTTGACAAGTATGTACCTGTTATTCAATGTGAAATTGTTTTGCTGAGTAACATTTTCCCCTTTGTTTCGCTAACACCTTTCCTTCTCTTGATTCCCAGTTTTGTTTGGGTGGATAACTCAACCCTCTTAGTTTGTGCCATTCCCTTATCTCGTGAAGACTTACCGCAGAAACCTTTAGTGCCCTGTGGTCCTAAGATTCAGTCTAATGAGCAGAAAAATATTGTTCAAGTTAGAACCTACCAAGATCTGCTTAAGGATGAATATGATGAAGATTTATTCGAGTACTATGCCACTACTCAACTTGTTTTGGCTTCTTTGGATGGGACGGTGAAGGAACTTGGACCACCAGCTATATATACATCAGTGGATCCCTCACCAGATCAGAAATACTTGTTAATTACTTCAATTCACAGGCCATACTCTTTTATTGTACCATGTGGAAGATTTCCAAAGAAGTTGGATGTGTGGACAGCTGATGGGAAATTTGTTAGAGAAATTTGTGATTTGCCCCTTGCTGAGGACATTCCCATTGCATTCAACAGTGTGCGAAAAGGGATGCGCTCAATCAACTGGAGAGCAGATAAGCCTTCGACACTTTACTGGTATATTTCTAAATATTTTTAGTAACCTCATATCCCCTAATGGTGGAAGAATTGTGACAGTGGTTCTCATGGGCCAAACTTCTAATATACTATGCATAAGGATGGTTACAGGGATAAAGAGTTTCCTGACATAATACCTCAACTCAAATCTGGTCATACTTTGAGTTAAGCCGGCTAACAAGTTAAAATGTGCTCCTAATATACCAACTTAAACTTGATAGAATTAGTTGATCATTTATTTTGGAAGTTTTGATAATAACTAATTGATTGTACAAGCTCTTTAAGGTAGCAAGACTCATCTTCCTTCTCATGAGTCTTTTGTTTCAACTCGTAAGCCTGTAAGCTAGGATATATAGTACCATCCGAATTCACAAATGGAATCAATTGGATTGATCGTCCTTCTGGGGCTGTTCTCAAAAGAATGTTCAATAGCCAGTCCTTTACAAAATAATAATAAGTAAATAAAAAACAATGAAAAAACTACAAAATTTAAAAAGGATTTCACATGCATGAATATCTAAGGGAGGCTGAAGGACCCAAAAGACGTCAACAATTTGAGATAACAATGCTATCACCACTTTTTGCAATCACAAATAGTTTTGGAAGCACTTTTCAGTTGGTTTAAATTTGGTGAACTCACTTTTCAGCTGATTTAAATTTGGTAAACCCTTTTTTTTGTCTGTCTTCCCTTTGTACAAGCTAGCAGCAATAAAATTTATAATCAACTATGACAACATTTGAATTCAAAAGCAGCAGAAAAACCTTGGTTTGGATTAAATCCTACCATTTATTGGAAAATGGGTATTTCACCCTTTTTTATCTTGTGCTGAACGTTGTGTTGTTAGAATAATCTTTTCATCGAAACCTCAGAAAGGATGAAGGATAAAAATATATGAAATTAGATATTGACTAGTTATATATGAACTAAAGCTATATCTAATTTTCCCTACTACTGTGAATCCAGATGGGGATTCCAATATCGGATTTAGATTCCCATTTCTGAAAATTTATCATTGATGGGCTATCGAAATTGCACCAACAAGCGCAAGCTTATCGCCAAATGTTGCTTCTATTACGAAGACCGCCTTGTCTAAACATAAAAACTCGGACACATTCCACCGAATGTTGCTTCTATTAAGAAGACCGTCTGGTCTAAACATAGAAACCCAGACACATTCCACTGTGTCGCTTCTATCACCGTTAGAAAACCCTTTCACTGAATTCCAATTATGATGCATCTTGGTACGAATAACATGTAGACTGATGAGGAGGGCCGGAAGAGTTGGGTTTTATTCGGGGCTTTTCAGTGGCTAGCAGCCCAAATCAGATGGTTATCTCTCATATGCTTTTTGTGGATGACACGATTGTTTTTTGTGATGCTAGGGTGGATTAGTTGAGGTACTTGAGATGTGTGTTGGCTTGCTTCCAAGTTATCTCAGGGCTGAAGATCAACATAGTCAAAAGTGTGTTGGTTCTAGTGGGGCTAGTTGATGGAATTCAGGATCTTGCCAACATTCTAGGGGGTGGTGTCGACGCATTTCCGATTGCCTACTTGGGGCTTTCTTTGGGCGTTGCGTTAAGGTGGATTCAGTGTGGGATCCTGTGATTGAGCGGTTTGAGAGGTGTCTCGCAGGGTGGAAAGAAGCAGTATCTCTCAAAAGGGGGAAAGATCACCCTTTTGAAATGTTCCCTTTCAAAATTTGCAACCTACTTTATGTCTTTGTTCCCTATGCCAAAGGCTGGATGAGATTCAGAGGAACTTTTTGTGAGGTGGTATGGAGGCGAGTTTAAGTACCACTTGGTGAATTGGGAGGTGTGCTCCCCTATTCGGGGGGGGGGGGGAGCTTGGATATTCGGGGTTTGGAGTTGTTTAACAAGGCGCTGTTGGGCAAATGGCTGTGGAGGTTTGAGAGGGAGAGGTCCATTCTTTGGAGGAGGCTTATTGCTTGCCGGTATGGAGAGGGTGATGGTGGGTGGCTGTCAAGGGAGGTGAGAGTTCCAGCAGGTGTGGGTGTTTGGAAGGGTATCCGGAAGGGGTGGGACGAGTTTTCTAAATGCATCTGTTTCAAGGTTCGAAGTGGGAATCACGTCAGATTTTGGGAGGACCACTTGTGTGGGGTTTGTGTTCTTGCTCGTAGGTTTCCTCGGCTTTTCAGGATTTCTTCGAACCAACACGCCATGGTTGCTAACTCTTATCGCATTGATAATGGGAGGTTGACTTGGGATGTGCAGTTTCGTAGAGAGTTCCAATTGGTAGCTTGTGGAGGTTGTTGAGTTTTTCGCCTTGCTTTACAGGCAGGAGGTGGAGGGTGTGGGTATGAATGAGGTTTTTTTTTTTTTTTTTTTTGGGGGGGGGGGGGGGGGGTGTCAGGGCGTTCTATCATTTTCTGTTGGTGACTCCAGGTTCTTCCTTCCCTTGGAAAGCGATTTGGAGGTCGATAACTCCCTTGAAGATGGCCTTCTTTGCTTGGTGTGCAGCCCACGGCAGCATCTTAACCCTTGACAATCTTAGAAGGAGACGACAGATTGTGGTTAACTGGTGTTGTTTGAGCAAGAAGACGGAGGACTCAGTAAATCATGTCCTTATTCACTGCCCGGTAGCAAGGGATGTTTGGTCCATGTTTTTGGTTACTTTTGGCATGTCTTGGGTGTTTCCAAGAACCACTGTGGATTTGATTGAGGCTTGGAAAGGGTGTCTAGTGGAGAGCCAAGCCAAGGTTGTTTGGAGGGCCACTCCCCTTTGTCTTTGGTGGGGTTTGTGGTGGGAGAGAAATAGGAGACATTTTGACGGTGAGGAGAATCCTATTTGTTCTCTCAAATACATATTGCATACTTCTTTCTTTTGGGTTAACGGGTGGAATTGTAATTCTTTGGGAGATCTATTGGATTTTATGGATAGGTTAAAGTTTTAGTTGTAGCCTTTGGCGTTTTGTGTATTCCTTTGGGAGCGCTCCCCTCTTGAACGCCTTTCTATGAAATTTTACTTATCAACAAAAAAAGAGGTAACATATTTCTTCGGCTTAGTTTGTAGTATTAGTAATCTTGAGTATTGCTGCTATTCAATGATTGTATTCTTGGAACTAGTCTTTTTTTTTTTTCTTAATAGAACTAGTCTTTCTATCATAGCTGTTATTTATTTATTTATTTATTTTTATTTTTTTATAAGTATTTATTTGTTACTTACTACTACTACTATTCAGGGTTTAAGAAAGGGACTTTAAGTCCTACTTATAGACACAATATTATGTGGATATGATGGTACGACAAATTCTTCAAAGAGAGGATACTGATTTGCAAGGACACAACAATATATATTTTAATAAACGTAGATATATATATATACACACACACACACACACAGAGTATTGTTCAATTGCTCCTTGGTGAGCAGGGAGCGATATACTCACTTTTACTCGTAGCATTAGAATCTAATCCAACGGTTAATTGAAATAATAGTTATTTTAGGTAATTATCTTTCTTTTAATTAGCCATTAATTATGAAATGATTATATTGGATACTTTTTTTTTTATAAAAAAAAACAATAATTTTTTTAATCTGATTAAACTTTAACCATGCCCCTTTCCACCACTGTCGGTCCGTCACCATCACCCACCTCTTCCCCCACTGCCATGGCCACCTCCCCCAACCACACCATAACACTGCCACCTCCATCACCACCATACTGCCACCCATCACTGGGTGGAGGTGGTGTGGTGTAGGTGGTGGTGGCGGTGTGGTGGTGGTGGAGGTGGTGTGGTGGGGGAGGTGGTTGCGGGGTAGAGGTGACAGTGGCGGTGGGGTAATGGTAGTTCATGGTTAAATATATATATTTTTTTCTTTAAGAATGTATCTAATATAGTCATTTCATAATTAATGGCTAATTAAAATAATGTTAATTTTCTAAAATAATTATTCTCCCCAGTTTTTGTTGGATTAGATCCTAAGGCTATGAGTAAAAGTGAGTATATTGCTCCCTGCTCACCAAGAAGCAATTGAACACTACTGTATATATATATATATATATAAATCAATTTATATGTAACCATGGATAAATATAAGTAATAGTTGTTTGTGTTATATACGTAGAATTGTAGATATATATAAAAATCAATATATATGTATCCGTGGATAAATTTAAGTTACAAATGTTTATGTTATATATATTGTTATCCACATTTCTGTATTAAATTTTATTATTAACAAACAAATTAAGAGTCATATTCATGGATAAATCTGATGGATATCCTGGTTCGGGATTTTCTGGCTGGAGCTCTATAAGACAACTCGGGATTCAGATTTGTTGACCTTGATGGTTTTGGCGCTTTTCTGCTGCTGTTGTTGTAGGTGGGGGCCTTCAAGATTTTTTGCTCCCCGGTCTGCGCTTTTTCGCAGCCGTTCTTTAGGGAATGTACGGTGTCCTTCGCTTCGAACATAGCGGTTTGAATCTACGGATACATTTAGGAAATATCGGACACGTACCCGTGAGTATTTGAGGAGTATCGATATTTGACATGGATGCGATATATGGGTATATGTTATTCATGTAGAAGTATCTATGCTTCCTAGGTGTATACTTGTTTTTAGTTTTGACAGAGTGTGCAAGTAGTTGCTGGTATATTATGATGGCAGCCTCCAAAAGAATACCGAAATTTAGATTTAATTGAAGGAGCTTAATGTCACGGACTTGAACCTTTTCAAGCTCCCGTGTGGCCTTAGACACTTTCAAGCTCCCTTGAAGCGCTAAGTCAGCCTACCCGAGTGTGCTAGCTTAGTGAAGACTAAGGTTAGACAAGTGTTTTGCTTATTTGGGTGTGTAGGAAGAGGTTAGGCAAGTGAGTAAGAGAGTTTGGGAATGTATAGAACTTGTATTGCTTGAGAGGAGAGATTACAACTTGGTTGCTTGGTGAGGAGCAAATGAACTCCCACCTCCTATTTATAGGCCTTTGGCCTTACAAGAACATTCTAGATGTGTACAAATGTGTGGCCTAGATTTATTGTC